GTGTGCTGAGTGAAATGTGGCGACTCGAACTGCTGCACATCTGTGCAAAGTTCTACATTGAAACCAGTCAGTCAGCCGTCACAAGCAATCTCGAGTTTCATTAACCAGAGTGCAACAATTTACTCTCGTTGTTTTACGAACCCTACACTAAATAAATTTACAATTTTCTTCACATCTTAAACTCTCAGAAAGTTAGTGGCCTGCTGCCATCTTTATCCATAGTATTTTTCAACAAACGTCCTGTGACTTCGCCATGGTAGGCAATTATTCAGTATGAATAATGTATGTACCAGTTATAAGAGCCGGTAAATCTGCTCCTAACATGTTGTTTTGAGTTACAGAAAAGATAGCTGAATCAACTGAGTGCAAAACAGCTCGTTACCTGCATCGCTGATTCACAATGACTATAATTTGGTAAGGCAAAGTGTGAACTGCTTCCAATAGGCATTTACACAATACTTGACATGTAGATTAGGAGGTCAGCTGAGCAACAGTGACGTCCGCAGTGTGTTTAATTTCCTAGTCTGTTGCGCCCAAATTCTACTACCACTAGTAAGTTACATTAAAGCAAATTCGGCGTGTTTTAGGTTACTTTTCAGTTTGTGAGCCATACATCTGTTCGTGCTGTAAACTGGGTGAACAACTGAAGTCTGCTAACTAGTTCAACTAATCTTTAATTCGCTTTATGCATGCTTCCAGATTCAGATTCAGATGATAAGGATAGAAGGCTCTTGTGGTCTGTGTTAATTCTTGCAAAATATATCTCTGCAGAGATCTAACTTCTCTTTGAAAGCGTTCACTGATGGAGCTAATACTACTGAATCAGGTAAGGAGTTCCAGTCGTTGACCACTTTGTGACAGAATCTAAATTCTGCACGTACTTTAATCGTCCTCGGTTTGAGCACCTTTTTGTAGTGATCCCGTAAATGCATCCTAGAAGGGAAGAAAAGTTTAGAAAGGTCAGTTCCTACATCACCCTTAAGTATACGGTATGCTAAAATTAAGTCGCCCCTCTTCTTTCGGTATGATAATGGCAAGAGATTTAAATGCTTCATCCTCTTATCATAAGGAAGGTGTGAGATACCATTAACTAATATGGTTCCTACCCTCTGTACTCTTTCTAAGATATGTCCCTCCTTCTTTAAGCATGGACTAGCCGCTTGTATGCAGTATTCTAGATGAGGCCTGACATACGTTGCGTAGAGTACTTTGAACATAGACTCATCTAATCGTTTGAAAGCTCTTCGGAGTGCACACAGAATTCGAAAAGCCTTAGCTGCGGCTGCATTGCAATTTGCAGTTGTCTTCAAATCACTGCTGACAATGATTCCTAGGTCCTTCTGTCCGTTGACATAAGGTAATTCTGTGTTCCCTAGGGAGTACGACGTAAAAGACTTCTAACTTAAGTGCATTTCCTAGAATTAATTTCCACACTCCACAGGTTCGACCACTCAGCTAATTTATCTAGATCAGTTTGTAGGGCCGACCTATCCTCGTTATTATTTACAGTTTTCCATATCTTAATGTCGTCTGCAAATAACAATGAAGATGAAGTAAGAATCCCCGGTAGCTCATTAACGTACAATAGGAATAGCAAGGGGCCTAATACAGTTCCCTGAGGCACTCCACTGGATACTGCTTTCTACCCTGATAGTACACCGCCAACTCTAACCTTCTGCTTTCTATCCATTAGGTGATCCCCAAACCACTCACATAGGCATTGGTCTAGTCCGAAACCTTTAAGTTTACTAAGGAGACCTAAGTGGGATACTTTGTCGAATGCCTTGCTAAGATCGATAAAAACCACGTCCAACAGAAGATTTTTATCTCTGGCCTCAACCCAGTCTTCCCTAGCCAATAGTGGGTTTTCCAGGCAGGATCGTCCTGGTCGGAATCCATGCTGTTCCACCGCCAGCAAGCCATGTTTTTCCACATGAGCTGACAGATGATTCCTTATAATTATTTCCAATACCTTTACTATAATGCATGTCAGACTAACCGCCCGGTAATCAGATACCAATTGCCTGTTTCCCTCTTAGAAGATAGGGCTTATAATGGCATTTTTCCAGTCCCTGGGTAGCTTAGCCTTGGTCAGAGACATTCGGAAAATCTCCGTAAGTTGAATATATATTATATCCGCCAAGGAAATTAACAGCTTAGGGTGAAGTCCATCAGGCCCTGGTGATTTGCCTGGCTTCAGTTTAGACAGTAGTTTGAGGACCTTTGTGTGCTCTACCACAATTGAGGGCATCTGAGTGGCGATGGCAGTGACCTCGTTATATCCCTGGGTGGTACGATCAGACAAGAAGACGTCACAGAAGTATTCAGAGAGGTTTTCAGCCTTTCCCTCGTCTGACTCAGCCGCTTCTCCACTAATGCTTATGAGCGACGGTATACCACTGCTAGCTTTAATCCTACGTTTGATATACGAGTACAGCCTTTTTGGGTAGTGAACACAATCCAGTACTAGCTGTCTTTCGTACTCTATACGACTCTTGTCAATCACATACTTGCAGAGATTTCGAATTTTGCGGTAGTCCTTCTGGAAATTTTCCTTCCTTCCCATAAGTTCTTCCTCCGTCTTAATAGCCTCCCTATTTCACTAGTAATCCAAGGTGGCTTATGCGATAGCTTTCGAGTAGTGTACCAAGGTACAAAAGGTGAAGTGACACAATCTAGTGTATTCCTAAATCCCACCGAAGCTTCCTCGACAGTACGACTTGTATCAACTGACCATTCAGCTACAGTTGCTGCGTTCCGGATTCCCGGTATATCCACTTTCCAAATGTTTGGACGAGCAGATGTTGAGAGAATGAGTCTTAAACATAAAAGTAATAACTACGTGATCACTGCTACCAAGCGGCGGAAGGTACTTAATGTTACCAACGTCCTCCTTCTGGTGTGTTAAAGTCACCAACAACCAGACACCTATTTAGAACGAAGTCATCACCTTGGCTAGCACGACTTCTGTAAACAACCCCGGTCGTTAAAGTGCCCTTGTTCAAGTTAATGACACAACTTGCAGTTTCACTGGTGCCGCTATCATGTGCTTTTGACAGCACTGACCTAATCCCTATGTCATCCCTGATGTATAGGGCAATCCCGCCACCTTTCCGACTAATTACTCTGTCCACTCTAATGCAGTTGTATCCAGGCATGAGTGGAGTCAAGTCTACCCCCAATAACAACCATGCCTCAGTGATAGCAATCACATCAGGTTGTAGTCTTTCAGATAATTCTCTTAATTCAGCGAGCTTATTTTGAGGACTACATGCGTTCGTATAGCACACTGAAACAACTACGTGTTTACCCGGCTTATGAAGAGAGGTCTCAGAAGCATCGGTTTCCGAGACCTCACCACCCGAAAACCCAATAGCTTGAGGTATTTTTCGCCTTTAGTTCAGCTACGGCTTCTCTTCTCTTGATTCTATCTTCTAACAGTCAATTAGGCCTTACATTTAAACTTTTATCATTGATTTTGAACGCGTTGTTGAAGATGGTACTCCTCTCTGTCCCGTTTCCTAAAACCATCTTAAGTAGTCGTCGGGAAGTTTCCGTAACATCAGGGTTTTGTTTTTCGATCCTGATGGCCCTTCTTATGTGGAATCCAATTGTTTCTTCGGGAAGTACTTCCCGGATAATGGAGCTAACCGCCTCCAGATCATCTGCCTGTCGGGCAGCTGGATCTAGGTTTTTAGATTCCCCTAAGTTCCAGATGATGACACTGCAACTCAAGTCCACAGGTTTCGGAGTTTGGCTGGCATTAGCAGCCGTCGAGACCTTGTTAGTAAGCCCGGTTACTGTTCCTTTACTACGTTTATTCAGATTCTTACCTTTCGACATCAACCAAGTGGAATCGGTTTCTTCCACTTTGTCTTCGCCGCAACTAGAAGCTAGTCGTACACTAGACACGCTACGCTTTGGTGTGGCCGTTTCACCATGCTGACACTACTCGCCCTTTTAGATTTTCATTGTTATTTTGCGCTTTGCCGTGGTAGATATTTGGGCACTATGTGCCTCTTTTGTATCTGACACTTCAGGATGCGATACAGTTTCAGTTTTAAAACTAAGTCCTGAATCGCGATTCTTCGCATCGATTTCTGATGCAGGCATTTCGACGGTATTTTTTAACAATTTCCTGGACATAAGAAGTCCTACTGCCTCTTGGATGAGGACATCCAATGGGCTACTGCAAAATTTGCACACCTACGGAGATGATGGCTTGCAACATTTCTTATAGGCTACTGGTGGTAAACCAGTGCAAACTTTGTGAAACCGTAGGCTGCAGCCCATCATCCACCGGAAAGTAGCAGTCCCGTCATCCATAGTTGTTAGTCGGGCTCATAACTCCACAGATATATATATATACATATATATATATATATATATATATATATATATATATATATATGAAAACAGTGAGGTAAATACCAACCAAAACACAAAATGTAAACAAAATGAACAACACTTCAACTAAATAAATCAGTTAAGTGAACTAAAAAGCTTCTGATGTGATTTAAACAACAAAAGAAGTTATTTCACAACGTACAAAATGCCACTCTCCACATTTATGTGAAGTCACTTATTCTGTGCGCCGGTGGCACAGCGGTTAGGACGCTCGTCGACCATGCACATGGTCCGGGGTTTGATCCCCAGCCGACGCACACCTGATATCAATGGTCGGCCTGATAAATTTGGGCTACCGATATCACATGCTGAAAATTCCATACTTGTATGAAAAATGCTGTATGGAGTTAAGCTACAATAAAAATAAATTACTCAACTCTCTCCAAAGCAGTTTGAATAACTCCAGTCTCTCAACAGACCTCCCTGGCCATTGCACACAAATGTCTACAGTCAACTGTGACCTCTGTCACAAAGTTTTACAGAGTGTAAGTAGAATAAGTCTTTATTGGTGAGGAATGATGACGTTTCGCAAAGCTGATTATGTTAATATGTTACATGTTTCAAATGGTACCGTGAAATTTAGGAATTTCAAATTTTATTGCCAAGATTTTATTCAGATAGTCGAAATAGCTGATATTTAACAGTATATGATACAAATTGGGGAACAGAAATTCATGAACGTGTAAACAAAATTGAAAATCAACGTTTCTTGGACTTTGACTTCCTAGATCAATAATATACAATAAAACAGAAACAGACTTCTTTGATTTTTCCTTCTTTTTATCTTTCTTTTTCTTCTTCAAAGGTAGCTTCTTATTAGCGAAAGTAGCAGCACGCTGAATTGCATCAAAAAAGAGATTATACCAATAAACTTACATCACAAGGATACATTTGAGCCTCCATTTTCGACTTCAATCGATTTTGCATCAGTTCCTTATAATTAATATATGCGTTTTTTGGCTTCTTAGCACCCATTTTGAGTAGTAACGTCTTACGGGTTTCTTTCCGCTCCGCTCCTGACTGCATAGATATACTATACCTCAACATGTCCAACGGGACGTCATTAAGCTTTATGTAAACAGCCTCATCATCATCCTGAAATTCCAAAATTCAATAACTGTGAATGCTATAAACCACGTTTTTCTCATCCTTTTCCTTCGCCTTGACCTTCATTTCGCAAATAAGGCGCCGGTAGTTCTCAAGGCCGAAAAAGTGACATTTCAAGTGAATATAAGTGAATGACATGAAATGAAACTGTTGTGTGATGGAATAAGGGAAATAGATGCCAGAAAGGAAAAGAAATTGGCTCTCTTCAGTGGATGAGGATTGGTGGGTTCCACTGGAGAGCACTGAAGCGCCACCATAGTATCCAATATCCAATATCGTTTTTACGAGCTAGTATAAACCAATTTGATTTCTTTGTGCTCGCCTCTTGACTGTGAGGTAGAGGTTCCTGATCTTCGATAGCGTAGCTCATCCCGCCACTCGACTGTCGTAGCTTTGGTTGACTCCGAAAGGAGTAGTGCAGGGATTAATTGTATGTGGTTTGCAGAATGAGGTGTGTTAAGACTGTTACTACTGTGAATGGAGTTGAACCTTTCACCAGTTGGTCCTTCGGTATCGTCGTCAATAGAAAAGAGATAATAATAATAGATATAATTAGTGAAGGTACTCAGGCCAACAGACAGAAAAAGAATAAGAAAACGTAACAACAGTCAGTCAACCCGTATATATATATACCAGTAATACTGATGATGATAATAATAATAGGTGTAGTTAAAGCTGTCAGGAGAGTAAGACGGAAGAGAATGTAAAGAAGTAAAACGACCAGTTTAATTGTCTAACTTCGAATGGTGTATGCGATTTTAAGGGGATAGGCCATTTGGATGCAGTCCTTGTGTCGCTGTATGGTTGTCCAGCCTTCGCTTAAAGGCATCCACAGATGGTGCCATAGCTACATCTGCCGGTAAGGAATTCCAGGGATGGCAAACCCGCAGGGAAAAGAAGTGGGAGTGCACCCGGGTCCTTGCCCTCTGATGAGCTATCCTTCTAGGATTTCCACGAGGGAACCTATACCTACTCGATGGCAGGACACCTTTGTTTGGGTGATTCTGATCATTTGTTATTTTGTAGGCAGTAATCAAATCCCCCCTAAGACGACGGTAACTAAGTTTGAATAGGCCTAATTTCTTCAGCCTTTCATCATTTGGTTTATTTCAGAGACCAACCACTCATTTTGTTGCCCATCGTTGGACTCTTTCCAAGAGGTTGGCGTCTCTTCTAAGCAGTGGGGGTGCAATAATATTATGCACTTCAAGATGCGGTCTGATGTATGTTTTATACAACCTTAGAAAGAGCTCAGGAGTGAGTGCACCTAACTGTCTATGTGCAAAGTGTATGACCACATATGCCCTCGCTACATCCCCCGTGTAATTTACGCTTGTGTCCATTTTCTCGTTAGAACTAGACCTAAGTCACGTTCCGACGTTGAGCAGGACAAGCTTTCATTGCACAGGGTGTAACTTGCATTCTGCAGTCTACAGGTGCGTAACTTCCCTACTTTGCACTTTTTCAGGCTGAAAGTCATGCCACTGGCCACCGCCCAGTCTTCCAGAAGCCTTAGATCTGCCTGCAGTCTATCTGAGTCCTCCGGACACTTTATCGTCGTCAGCGTATAGAAGAGTCGGGCAGCTTAGACGGTATGGTAGATCATTGATAAAAATCAAGAACGTCAGTGGTCCCAGCCTAGAACCCTGCGACACTCCTGATGACGAGCTGTGCCAAGATGATCGAACTCGATTGGCCTTGGTGCAAAATTGCCTTTCAGTTTGCTGGTTCCTCAACCATGACAGAAGTGGTTTACCTATACCTACCTGGCTTATTTTGATGTCCAGTCGTCCCAAGCTGATAATAAGTTAGTGACGCAGGATCTCCCTTTTCTGAAACCGTGTTGGGCTTCATGGAGTATTTTAGACTTATCGAGATATTCCCTGAAGTGATCATCAATAATACTTTCCAGCACTTTTGATGCCACTGGGAGTAGAGCTACTGGTCTATAACTAGTGGGATTTTGCCTATCCCCACCCTTGAAGATCGAAGAAAGGATGCTTCTTTTCCATTCCCTTGGCAGTTTCCCCGATTCCATGGAGTGTTGGAACAAGTCGCATAAGGGCCTATAGAGAGCTTCGGCGCACTGTTTCAGAACAGATGGTCTGATGTCGTCACAACCTGGGGACTTCCCAGTTGTGAGTCGCTGCAGCTTTCTTAGTACTATTGTAGGGTTTATTTGGGAGGTGGCTATTTGGTCTTCCTCCTGTGAAATAGAGGTGACACCATTTTGGTCCGTAACGGCAATACCCACATTGCTGTTTAGCTGTTTGGTGAAGGCTAAACTGAATGTTTCAGCCATCTCCAAACTAGTGAGATATTGACCGTTTTGGCCTACTAAGGCGCATGCCCCCTGGTTGGTAATAATGAGTAATGAATAGTAATGAGTACCGATTTTGGCATCTTCGGTTGTTCACCACTTTATAAACTGTTACCAAGCCAACCCAGGTGTGTCAAAGGTATGCGAAGAAACATTACCCGACACATATGTTAAGGTTCAGCTGATTAAAGACGGCTTCATTCCTCAGGGTGTTAAGCCTTCTTGTAGACTGAGTGAAAATCTCGGGATTCTTAAGGCCCCAACAGTTTCACACTGCCTGTCTAAAGAAGGTCCCGAAACTTGGTTTTTTCGTAGACCAGGGTTGACTGTGTCTCCACGATGGTTTTGTAGTGTACATTGTACCTTCGAACTTTTGTTTGAACGAACTCACCTGACCTTTAACCCCACTTCCTCTTGGTATTCGTGAATCTTCTGTACGGTTTCGGTTTCGCTTTCTCGCTGTGCTTCCATCCAGCACACTCTCCGAGCTTACCACCGTCTCAACTCCAGATAAGTGTATACCCTCTTATTCTTTATCAAATCTCATATTGCTTTTGGGTAAATATAACTCTGTTCCAGTCACGCTAGTTATCTCAAGTCTTTTACCTTGATCCAGTTCGTTAGTATTTGCGCATTAGGCAGAGTACTATTAAGGTTATAAAGTGGTGAAGGAGTTTTTGTTAGAGTGGCTAATTTAGGTCTAAGTTAACCCAAGTCTAACTCTTACAGTTTCACGTTACGCTCTGCGATAGGATGTCCTCTTGCGATCTAGACTGTTATCCAGAATAACAGCAGGTTGCTGATCTTGACTTCAGGGACTTTACGAACATGAGTTCTATGTTATATGGAATCATACGGTTTGACTAGAAATAGAGGCAATACATCTTATGCTTCCGAAAAACTAAATAAAATGAGAAGATCTAATGACTGCTGCTGTAGTTTGGTGACTGAGTCTCAAGACTTTTAGTAGGTCTCACTTCTCAGGGACTGGCAAACTTCTCCACTAATTGTGCAACACCACCGCCTCCAGGAGCAAGAATCACCTTTAAACTTCTGCCCACCGGGTCTATTTGCCGACTTAAAGGCCTTATCTGTTATACCTCTAATAGAAACAGAACCTGATCTAACGGCAGATATCAGGAATAGATATAAGGTAGGACACTTCCGGTGTAGGTCATCAAGCCATTAAAATATATGTGACGGGTTCATTTAATCCTTAGTTCATTGACTGTGCCTAGAACTTTAGACGAAATAGATCAAAAGGAGAAAAGGAAGTGGGGAGAAGAGTGAGATTAAAACAAGCGAGTGGATAAGAAGCACCCCTTTGTCGTCTGTAAGGTTTTTATTTCCTAGTGAACCTTACACTATAGCAACAAAAACTTGGCTAAGCTCCGCAGCATCGTTTGCCCTGCCGCGTGCAAACGACATGTATATCCGACCCCGACTACTTGCTTCGTGCGTGATACTTTGTGGCTGTCAGTATATTCATGGTTACTTAGATATAAGAAGTCGATTACAATGTCTTCACTTTCCTTCTTGCACTTCTCCTCCATTCTGTACAACTTCATGACGTCTACATACATTTACCTTTCTCAAATGGTAGTTGATCACTCCGTTTCTGACTGTTAGTGCGAAGTCTGGTATTTCGGCGTGACTCAGACTGATTGGAGGCGGTCAAACTTGAAGTCAGAGTTTTAAGTCATTGGCTGCAGACATAGAGGTGTTTATTCCTCAAATCTGGATTCAGCTCGTATTGCGTACGTAGAATAACCTCAATGAACACTTGTTTAAGCTTGGGACAATTGCCAACCAATCAGAACAGTTTACTCTCCTCTGACATGGTCAAACTTCATTGTGGCTAAGAATGTATAAATGTGTTTTTTCCCCTAATAAAGGTCCTTTACCAAGCCCCTTGCCTTCTGCAGTTGCTCTAGGATTAGTAGGTGATGCTAACGTACCCAGGAAGAGAATGATATCTCTTGATGTTACGTCTCTCTTCACTAATGTTCCCCTCACTGGAACTACTCGCTTTATATACAAGTTCATCGAGGATAATAATCTGCACGGGGTATTCCGACCCAATACTTGAAGGAGCTCCTACTGAGATGAATTTCCAGTGTCCACTTTAAGTTCAACTACATAATCTATAGACAAAAGAGACGGAGTGGCAATGGGGTCACCATTGGGTCCCTTACTTGCACTGTGCTCTTTGGTAAGTCTAGGCAAGTCTGCTATGCATTTTCGGTAAATACAAACACGACTGTGCATTCTCTAGTGGTGATTTCGCTGATAAAGTAAATTTTCTTCGCTTAATGGTCTTTTTTTGTCCATGAATCTGTGGGTGTTTCCGGTGATTTAACCAGGGTATTAAATCTTTGAGGATCTTCAGCAGTCTGGTTTTAATATTATCCTATTTGGGAGAATTGTGTTTGTTTTGGATTTTAGCTTGCACGCTGAGATCGCTTACTGCGTATGAGAGTGATTTGTGCAGTGGCTGTAACACGTATGTTTTTAAATAATCCTCATGCTCAATGCAGCCATTTGCAGATTTGTCCCTCGTGAGTCATCTCGGTTGTTTCTGAAAGTTTGTGGTCAGGCGACGTCTGTCTTTTCCCTCAAGACACTACTTCTACCCAGTTGATATGAGTGGAACTTGATGAGATTTTGAGGTCGCACACGTGCTTGGCACCTAATCACATCTTTATGTATACAGCCCAAGTAGCACATACCTGTTATATACTAGAGGTAGCTGTGTGATGGTTACTTATGGAAGATTCTTTAGAGGG